ATTGTTCTTTTTTTTAGAACAGAATTTCTAGAAGTTAGACTCCAGAAAGGTCTTACATTATTCACATACCGTTATAGAACAACATTTCTAGGAAACTAGAAGCAGTAAAATAGGGTTGGACCTTTTCAAGGTGTAAATATCTCTTCATGTTAGATTCTTTATCTTCAAGAACTTAAGTTTTCTGGAAGTTGGACTCCAGGAAATTCTTACAATTATTCACATAGAACAACGTTTCTAGGAAACTATAGGAACAGTATAGTAGGGTTGGACATTTTCCAGGTGTAATCTCTTCAAGTTAGGTTTAGAGTTCTTTAACCTCAAGAACTAAAGTTTTCTGCAAGTTAGACTTAGTGTGATGTTAATTTTTATTTTCTTCATAATCCTTTAAGTGTTTAACCCATAGAATGCCGGGTTTGGGAGGTTTAAAGAAAAAATTCTTGATGTACCTCAATTGTTTTATAGGTGATTGTTACCCTGTGATTTTTGTGCAAAAATCAGTTTAGTTTCCACAAGGTTGCACCATATTATACCATACATATTTTTCTTTCTGATGAGACCCTATTGAGATATTGGACTAAAATTATTGCTGTACAGCAAATATTGTCCTTGTTAGCAACAAGGTGTACAATTGGTGAAATTGTAGACTGACTAATAGTGTATATAATTGCATGCTTGATAGATTTCCTCATTCCTGAGTTAATTTGACCATGAAATTGCCACAAGGCCTTGTGAATTCTCGCTACCCCAAATAGCGATTCTGCCGAGATCCGGGGAAAATCCTGAAAACGCGCATTGCATTATGGGATAGCTTTTCGACATTACAGCTTCCTGTGCAGGTGTTCGTGATCACAACCCTCTCTTTCACGGTAGAGTTTAACGGCCTTTTGTGCTAAAGTCACTAATTCTGCCCGAAGCTTTCCATTGCATATTATAATCTGTACAAATTACACTGATTGGCATCGATTTTAGCGTGCGTGAAAACTCTGCACAGCGAACACAGGCGCTAGCGCCAGCGGGATGGGACTCTATACCGGAAGTTGTAGTGACGACCCGAGAGAGTGAAAATTACCTCGTCTCGCGAATTTCGAGATTTTCGTACCTATTTAGGGTAGCGAGAATTCAAACACTGGTGTGGGCAGGAATTTATTTGTAGACTGATAATAGAACCAAATCTCTTTGAAATCTCTTTGAAATTTCATTTTTCATTTGATCATAATACTTTTTATATGTTTGATCAGTGAGTGTTATTGCCGTCACATGTAGTAAACATCCTATTTTCTATTTATAAGAGATTTCATGTCTGTCTGTTTTGGTAGAATAGAATATTTATTAAGTAAATAGTACACATATATTGTTGGGTATACATGTATGTGCAGATGGTATTCCATTAGAAGAAAAAGAGCAAATTATACTTGTTTAACTTGAAAGTAGTATAGAGTCAGCTGGGATAAATGTGATATTCAGTTAATTATGTTAGAAGAGGGTCGTGTTTGCTTTTGGAGGCACTTTTTGTTGGTTTGTTTGAAAAAACTCACTTGTATCTTTGTTCACATAGCATATTACATAAAGATGAGAGAGGTCTACATGATGGATCAGTGGTAGAGCAGTGGTCTTGTAACTGGGAGGTCCTAGGTTCAAAATGAAGTCGGTGTGCTAGGGCTAGGGCCCTTTGGTAAGGCATTGATTAATCAAATCCCTCAAAAAGAATTTAAAGACCTAGGCCAATTTTATTAGCTGCCTGTCTAAAGGCACAATTTCACCTGCTTTTTATTAAAGTAGTCTAATAGAATGAGTATTGTCTTTCAAGTTCGATATTGCTCTTTTCATTTTCTAATTTTCATTCTATTCTATCAGTAAATTCATGATGATGCATCAGCTTTATATACATGAAGCTGCAAAATTGAGTTTGTCCCAACAAATCACAATCGCAACTACTTCCTAAAAAACATGAAACAACCAAAGGGTACTTAACCCAATGTATATCCTATAGACATCATGGTCATTACGTAGAGCGCCATTGTAATTATCAAACGTTTCTTAAGGTGATGGAAGGGGCTAGTGAAATTGTTGTAATGTTGTTGATATTTCAAGAGTATTGCAAAAGTGTTATAAGTAGCCTAGTTATAAGCATAACCAATATAAATATTCAAGCCTTATTATAAGCTAAAATGTTATTGAAAGTAAGCAATGTATGCCTACATAATCATCATACCTGTCCTCTTCTACAACTCCTGCTCTCCTGGAAAGGAAAAACATCCTTGAGAGAACATTGAACCCCCTGCCTCGACCCTCTACAATTTAGCCAAATATGGAGCTCAATCCATCCATGATACCATATGTATTTATGAGTTTACCAGTGCAGCCTTGTATACATGTAACTGAATTCATGTCTCAGGCTGTGTTCATACTGCTTTTTTCAGCCTCGAATCATGATTTTCAAACATACAACATGACTGCATTTATCGACTATTTTTTGTTGGTGATTGTAGATTTTAATGTGTTTAAAAATGCTAACTTACTGATTTAGAAAGAAAATAATGTGCATTTTGTAACACTTTTCCCCAAAATATCTTGATTGAATGACATCCAAAGGCATGGTTAGTCGACTGTAAACACCACCCTACTGTACATCAAAATTATGTCTCAACTCTACAGACGATCGCAAGAGAAGTGCAAGGGATTTATGGATGTCAATCTCAGCTTACTAGTTGTATTAACAAGACACTCACAATGTGTTTCAATTTTCAAGTCTATGTTTTTTAATGGTTGTTCCATGTTTCAGAGTTTGGGTTTTAAAAGTTTTTTATGAACACAGCCTGAACTTGGGGGCGGTACAGCGAAATCCCATTTAGATTTGGCATTTTAAATGTTTGTCCCTCGTTCCTGATTCAGACTTCAAAATAGTTTATGAACACAGCCTAAGCTTTGGGGTAACAGTATGTCTCTTGTAATAATTTGTATGTCAATGAACTTCCTCTTGTAGAGTTTTTCCAATAAAATTGGGCATTTTGATCAGTGTTCCTTGTTTCTGATTCTTGCTTTAAAAAGTTTTATGAATGCAAGCTAAGCTAAGGTAGGAGTAGCTGTACAACTCTTGTCATAATTGGTACAAATGTTATTCCTAAGAAATAATGATCAGCTTGGCAATTTTGATGGGTATTCCATGTTCCCAATCTGGCTTCAAAAGGTCTGATCTGAAGAAAAAAACCTAAGCATGGAACAGTATCATAATGTTGTCTTTCAAATTCCTTATTTTGATCAGTGTTTTACATTAGTTTTTCTGGCTTCAAAATATTTTATGAACACAGCCTAACAGTATGTTTCTTGTCATAAATTGTATCGAACAGTTTCATAATGGTGTCTTTCAAATTCATTACTTTGATCAGTGTTTTACATTAGTTTTTCTTGCTTCAAAGTATTTTATGAACACAGCCTAAGTTTGGAGTAACAATATGTCTCTTGTCATCATACATGCTATGGAGGTCATTGTCATCAGTGAGGAAAAAAGGCTGAACAAGACAGATGACCTTTCAGTGAAATTCAGACGGAATGGACATTGATATTGTTGTTTTGACCTACTTTTATTCACTTGAATTACATCCTGCCATAGTACTTGAGAATAATCGAAATCTATTCATGTTTTATCTTTGTATTTTACAGTGAAATACTTAAATAATGATTCAGATTTCACTCTTTTATGTTTTTTTTAATTTTATATTCTTCTTTCCTTACATTTAACTCTCCCCCCCCCCCCCATTTTTCATTTCCACTCAACTTTCCAGTGTACTTGATACACAACATAATGTTTTCTTCTGTTATCTTTCTGAAATTTTTGCCTGTTCATTATACCATTATATTTAATTTACCTCATTACACTATTTTGAAAACAGGATCTTATATTAGAAACATTTATCAATATTACTTTTCAGGTTTGTTTTGCTGAATTTAAATTATAATGCATACCCACCGCCCCTTTAAAAAACAAAAACATAATTGGACCTCTGTGTTAAGAACAGTTTTTCAGTCTTTATGAATGGCCAGTGCCCTGTTTGTGCAGTATGTTCATACTCCAATCATTCTACTTATAATATTTAGTCCCCAAACTTTCCTCCCCACCCATCTTTTGGTACATAAAAGAGGTTATTAGTTGATTAATAAACAGGTGATACGGATATCAGTCATAGCATAATTTCATGAAAATCATGAGTCATGATTATAATATCCAACATGATTTGGCTGATACAAGTACTGTATTACAATGTACTGCCAACATCTGCATTATGCATCGTCTGTGGTTTTCTGCCTAGGATGGTTACCATAGCAACTGTCATTTTGTGCTAACATTTGTTAATTTCTGAGTGCAAAGTACCGGTATGTGTTCTTGTAGATGTGTGTACTCTGCAAGTTAATTTTACTATTTTATGAGTTACAGTTAGGAATAGGATGCAGTACATTAATGTGAATTGGGAGCCAAAGTAACTAGAGGAAGACCGGATTTGAAATAATTTGTAGTAGGACTTCCTGTTTTCCCAATAGTTCTAAGCATATATTTCATATCCTGAGATGGAGTCACAATAAACCAGTATTTGTAGGGGGTGTATCTCTTGATTAAGTAACACTTTTGTGATTTTGCATTATTTTGACATTATTAAACTTCTCAGTGCTTTACTGTGTATGTGGGGCTATACATGTATCTTGATTTTTATCCCAAATTTAGATCTTCTTTTAGAATTTTGGTTAAATTTTGACTAAATTTCACCATAATCTGAATGGAACGTCAGAATATCTGCCATATGAATACAAGAAGAGCAATTTTTAACAAATTTCATTCTGATTTTTTGTCAGCTGCTGGAATGAAACATTCTTGAAAATCAAATCTTTCCAATAAGAAGCAAGGATTGGGGCATTACACAAAATTCATGACAATGATCTAGCAGATTTATGAACATTTCAGCGTGATGTATTATTGATCACTATTTTTCCTTAATGATGTTTTCCAGGTCTCCCTGCATCCCACAGTCACTGTCCATGCAGCATCTGCTTCCATCCAAACCGAACCTGCGTCTACAGCTGCAAGCAGAACTTCAGCCCCTGTCCTCTCTACAATGGCACCACCATCATCGAACAACCCATTGACCTCATGACCCTGGACGAGAAGTACGCGACGCAGGCTCGCAAGGCCATCCGGAAGAGTGTCAACGGTGAGAAACCCTTCTTCCTGTATTACTCCTTCCAGCATACGCACGACCCGCAGTACGCGGACTGGCGGAACACGGGAGCGACCGCTCGGGGCGACTACGGCGACGCCCTGGCCGCGATGGACTGGGAGATAGGGGAGGTGATGGCGGAGCTGGACCAGCAGGATATATGGAATGACACCTTCATCTTCTTCAGTGCAGACAATGGGTATGTAGTACATTGTAGACTGTGGAAGACATCATTTTAATTGCAACTATTCATAGGTGTACACAGTGTAGGTGAAGTTTTGATTTGACCCCCAAAATATGATTTTCTTTGTTCTATATATACTCTAAGATAATTTAAAGATATAATCAATTTGATAATAATGAACAAAAAATTAGGTTTTGTTTCAGGAAAGAATGAGATACTCTTTTATCCAAACATATCTCCCAACTGCATCAAAGAAGGGGTCAAGACAATAGTCCTGTTTCATGAAATTTGACATCAATGATAATTCACAATGAGTAATGTTAGCTACTGAAATAATACAATTTTATTGGCTGAAAGTTGTAGATTTGTCACAGAATTTAAGACATAGTCCTACAATGCCCACCTTCCTTCATTCAAAATCCACTGCACATGATATCATGTCAAACAATGCAGATATCAACCTTAACATGTTTCGTGAAACAGGGAACAATTGATGGCAGATTGTCTAACAGTCAGTGATTAAATTTCATCTTGCACCACAGGCCAAGCCTCTCTAAGCGATGGGGAGGCAGCGTGGGACTCCTGAAGTGCGGCAAGGCTACCACCTATGAGGGCGGTGTTCGCGTGCCAGCCATAGCCCACTGGAGGGGTCGCATCAAGCCTGGCTATACCCTGGAGCTGTCCAGCACCCTGGATCTCCTGCCGACCGTAGCCAAGATCACAGGGGCCAGACTGCCCAGTGCCATGCTGGATGGGGTGGACATGGCACCATTTCTCTTCAATGGTGGCAAGGTAAAAAAGCATTTTTTTCTTCTTTTGCTCTTGTGTTTTCAGTGTTTTACTCTTTATTCCTTTACTCTTTTATGATATACTTTGTTGTTGTTGTTGGGTTTCTAGGCTGTCCAATCTGAACAGATTATTTCCGCCTGGCAATATTGTTTTTCAAGTTCTTCATCAATAATGATTACATGGCGCTGTTTCTTTTGGTGATGTGACTTTTATCTGTTCATGGAAAATTTGAAAATGGTTGAAAATTATCCAATCTTATACAAGTCTCACAAATACTGTACCGTAAATGCAGTTTGTTCCTGATTCATTAGGGAAAGTGTAGAGCAGTGGCTAGGTTGCATCCAATATGTTCTGGTAAATGGTAGTTGGAAAATATTCATCTAGGGTTTGAAAGTATACAGCAGGGCCCTATTTCACAAAACTTGTCATCGGTGACAAATGACAGTTTTTGTTATAAGCAGCTGAAATCCTTGCTTCTAATTGGTTATCAGCAGATTTGTCACTGATTTTTGTCATTTGTCATTAAAAAAAGGCTTTGTGAAACGGGTCCCTGATCACAACAACTTGTAATATATACAACCGACTAAAAATATTTGTATTACTTCTGTATGTTTTTGGTGTTAAGCCTTAGTGATATAATGATTTCATCGCCTTCAACAGGGGAAAATTTAGAATCAGTGTTAAAACAAAACAGTAGCTCTGAGTTTTTGAAATTTTGTATTTGCCTCATAATAGGTTTTATCACAGCATGTCGATAAATATAATCTTAATCATTTTTGCTTGTTTTGATCTCTTAGAGTTTGAGAGAGACATTCTTCTACTACTCACCTGCAGCCAGCGAGAGACAGAGCTCCTTCGCAGTTCGTTACAAGCAATACAAGGCTCACTTCTACACCAAAGGCTCCACCCTGTCTGGGATAGGACATCCTGATCCTGATTGCAGGAAGACTGCCAAGAGAACCAAACACAACCCTCCCCTTCTCTATGACCTCCACAGGGATCCCGCCGAGCAGTACAACATTGCCTACGAGCCAGAGTACCAGGATATCATCAAGCTGATCACCCGCATCAGGGAGGACTTTGATGGTAGGATGGAGTGGGCCGTGTCTGAGATGCATAAGCCGTCGTACGATGAGTACATGCCCTGTTGCAATCCTGGATGCGAGCCACAGCCTTACTGCTGCCACTGCACCCTGACAACCTCAATCGCTTACAATCCATGGGAACTCTACACCGACATCTGGCAGGATAGCAACAGGGAAGCAAAGATGAAGAGGAAGGAGAGGAAGGAGCTGTTCAAAAGAGAGCGAGAGGACAGCCGACGGCAGCTTTCCTTTATGAAGGACCAGAAGAGAGGAAGAGATAACACTCAAGATGTCTTCTTAGATAGTGATCTTGATAGAGGCGCTGGAAGAGATAGGATAAGGGATGGGAACAGAGAAAAGAACAGAGGAATCTTTGATGATCCACCAGTAAGAGACAATGACAGAGATCGGGTGAGGGATAAACCACAAAGAGAAAAAGAGACTGAGAGTACCAGGGAAAGAGTTAAAGTCAGCCCCAGAGGCAGGGTACGGATTATCACAGAGGAAGATCCTCCATCTCGAGGTGACAGGGAGCGGGGTCGGGATAGGCCCAGAGAGGGGGGAGGAGCCTTTGGAGATAATCCAAGGGAAAGACGGAGAGAAGGTTCGCGGAAGGAAGCCAGGTTGACTGGTCAAGGTTCTACCCTGGATGAAAAAAGGGAAGCTGCTGGTAGTGGTAACAACTTACATTATCTCAATCCTACATCGCTGCATGCCACGAGTGAAACACCCAACCTGCAGGATCAGAGCAAGGAGTCAGGAGTGGGATATGTTGGTGGGGGAAGTGGTTCTCATCAAGGCCTCAGGGATGCAACAGGAGCAAACATCAATAATTACTTCGGGGGCTTCTTTGCCTGGGACAGTTCCAATGAACAAATGGACGAGAGTAGCGACGGAGGCATCGCCAACCCTCTTGCGGACACTCAGGTCCAACAGGTGGGAAGCACTTTTGAGGAGGTGTTCGAGACCACGACAGATGCCCCGCTGGCATTTGATGCGGTTGCCAAAGAGCGCAGGAGAAACAATAGAGACCAGAAAAACATAGACAGGAGACAGGAGAGACAGAACAAGAAAGAAGTACGCAGAATAAGATTTGGTGTAGACCAGGATGATGATCAAACATTTGACTTTTGAAGGAAGCTGGAAGTACGTGGACTATATGCAAAACGATGTCTCTGGGCCAATCAACAGGAAGGATAGAACTGATGCGTTTGGTCAAATTTTGATAGTGCCTGTATGGTCTTATGGTCTCGTGGTCCTATTCAGACCAATTTGGAGTGTTGCGGTATGAGACATCTTAATTTCTTGAATGATTTCAGCTTCAAGTGGACATGTCAGATGTGCACATGTCTACCAGTTATGTCAGGAGAGATAGATATAAAGAGAGAGAGAGAGAGAGAGAGAGAGAGAGAATAAGAGAGTCTTCATATAGATTGAGATAAAGAAAGATGGGGAGGAGTTGGGAAAAAAAAGAAGAATATATCGTCTGCTGAGAGCCAGAAGGATGTTAACTCAAAATAAACTTTTGCTTATACTGGTAGCCAACATCCTTCTGGCACTCAACTGAAGACCTGTGGTATTGATCGACAAGGCAAACGATTGACAGTTAGGCCACGGTTCTGGGACCATCAGTGATGGAGACTCGTAAGGTCAAAGTTCAAAGTTTTTGATGCCCTTCTTTGCCTGTAAATTGTCTATGAGGCTTCACCTAGCAGGGTATATATCATATCAGTATGCAGGGATAAACAGCAGGGTCTGCACTCGTAATCCGCAGCCATAATCTATTGCATACTCATCATTTATGAACCTGTGCACTTGTCAAATGAATTTGTTGCCATTGCTTTAGTATTAAAGGGGGACCAATCATCAAAGAATTAATTTCCAGTGTATGTTTGGGATTCATGCAGGTATATTATTGAAAATACCAGCTTCATATATATGCTCTTTAAACTTAAAGAGATAGCCCACATACATGTGCTTGAAAGCCTAGTCAGAGTTTTATTTCAATACAGGCCTTTTATGAAGTAAGGTTAATGCTTCCTTACTCTTGCAGGGATGATGTTTCAATTATCATTTGCCCCACCAAGATATGTAGGTACTTGGTGATCAACATTTATCACTGTTTTGAAGTCTGAATCAAGCATTCTAAATCTGTATGAATTAAAGAATGTTACCAAAGAATATTTCTGAGGAATATTAAATTGCATATTTGTACAAGATGTATTTTTATTTAGCATTAAACAATAGTAAACAAATGAGGAACAGACAAACGAAGGACTAAAATGATACTTATTTTGTACTTTCACAATTAATTTAATTTAAATAAGTGTGGATATTTGGTATCATTTGAAAGGGTAATACATTTTCTACAACTTTTTTTTCTATTTAATTTTTTTTAATGAAAATAATGTTTAAAAGAAACCAGCATTTGAAAAGGATGTCTTTAAAAAACAAAAAAAATTATACTTCAGTGATTGGTCCCCTGCAACTGCTATGCACAAACTGCCTAGCCTGGCTCACAAGCTGAATCATTTTTTTCCAAGTACATTTTATGCAAGAAAATATATTTTGTAACATTTAACAGTAAAAATTGCCTTAGGAGTGATAAGATTGTGCCTAGTATAAGTCGTTGGATATGCAAGCGTGTGTGATATTGTTGAGTAAGAATTTAACTTATTAATATGAATGATAGTTTTGTTTTCTATGCATTTTGTCTGTTGCTGCTGTAGCGTTGCTGTAAATTAAGCATTTTTAACATGTGGAAATAATTATGTATTCATGTAAAACTTATTTTCAATTTTGCGTACTTTTGCATCATGTTAAGTAGTTTTGATTGTTTATACTTTACAGTTAATTCTCCATCACAAAGAGAGTTTACTATTTGAGAGTAACTGTTAATAAAGTTATTTGGAATATTTGAGAGTAACTGTTAATGAAGTTATTTGGAATGCATATATTTTTTTTAAAGTAATATTTCACAGGGTTCCCACAGTCATGGAAAAGCCTGGAAAGTCATGGCTAATGAAGAAAAAAAAATCTCCCTTTGTCATAGAAAGTCATCAATATTTATTGTGGGTATGGGACCTGTGGGCCGTGTGTGGCTATGGCAGACTTCCAAATTGAACTGACAATGGGCGTGGTGTTAAGGTCTTACACCTCCGCAATCCATGCCAAAATGGTACTTATCTGGTCATGAAAAGGCAAATATGGAAAGTCATGGGAAGTCATTGACTTTGGTTCTCAAATTTATGTGGGATCCTTGTCCAGCAGGGTTGCTCATATGATTAAGGTTATTATTTTGATGGAAGAATATGTTTGTTTTACTTTCTTTATTATGCTTTGGTTAGTATTTTACATATTAAACAGTAATTTTGTGGACAGTTTTTTATTTTTTCAGTAAAAAACATGGTGTATTTTAATTTTTTTACCCTTATCAAATAATTAGAAAAACTGGATTAGATTTGATTAGAGAACATTTACATATTTTAAAGGGTTAATATAGGTGACCCAGTGAAAAAAGGTAAAAAGTACATTTCTAGAAGTTTTATCCTTTTCAAATAAATAATCAGAAAAAATGGGATTATATTTTAATATAGAATAGTGACCTAACAAGTTATTAAATTTCCTCCTTTTGCTCAAAGTGTTGAGTTTTGATGCCATGTTTTGCCATTTATTTGTCAAGAAAGTGAATTTGAAATTTAGTCCCATGTTCTGTGTCATTCAATAACACTCAAATGTTAAATTAAAAGTTCAAAAGGGCAGTGGAGTCAAAAATCTTTCAAAATGATAGATATACAGTTCAAACTTGATGCTAGATTCAACCTTTATGCTATTGGAAACAGCATGTTAAAAGTGTAAATCTAACCTTTTTAAAAAATGTTGTTATTTGTTTACCTTTTAAATGTTGATTTAACACTGAGTGAAAATTGAAATTTACCTTTTTTTTTAATATGGAGTGTCACAAGGTTGCAGGGGTATTAATGATGTATCTTAGCTTAAGAGTCTTGAGAATTCAACTTTGAGCTGTTAAAAAGGCAATCGTTTACATAAGTTATTTATCATATAGATTTTTTACAAATGTAATAAAAGGGGAAGTTTTTTCTATGAAAGTACAAAAATCTGAAAAACAGGTCAGTGATACCTCAAGAACAATCTGTCAAAGAGTGGGAAATTCATGGTTCTATAAGTTTTGGTATCATTAAACAAATTGATATCTCCCTGATCTCCTTTGCAAGAATACTCTCCATTCGCTCTCTACTAAAGATTTTTATGAATTTTAATTCTCACCCAAAGATAATGTTTCTCAAACTTCTTCCTAGTAAATTGTGTCTCTGAAAAATTATTCTTATAGACCCTTCTTAATGACAAACATAAGATATTCCTTAATGATAATTTGAGAGTTTGAATATACTATCTGTCTAGAATGCTTTAAATGATAAAGAATATTATAGTCGACAATTCTGAATAATTCTATTAAAGATATGCTTTATATTTACTTGCTTGTTAAAGGTGGAGGTGTTGTGGTCGAGTGGATACGTCGACGGACTGTCGATCTTAAGGTCCGCAGTTCGAGTCCCGTCGCGGCACTAGTATCCTTTGGCAAGATGTAGATCTACATTTGCCACACTCAACCCAGGTGATGTAAATGGGTACCCGGCAGGAATTAATTCCTTGAAATGCTAGAGCGCCGCAGTGGCTACCTTGCTAAAACCAGGGTAATAATCGGGGCAGCGCCAGGAGCGTCACAAAGTGACGGACATGTGCGCTATATAAGAAGCCACCATTATTATTATTGTTAAAAGAATAATGACAACTCTTAGAAGCCAATTGTTTGATTTACCAATATCAGGTGCTCTTTTTGATTGTGGGTCAATTTGCAACTCATTTGGAAAACTTCAGAAAAATTGGTTTTATTTGTTAAATTTCTTTTTTTATAAAGAGTTCTAGGCCTTTTTCAAGTTATATTTTTAACACAATACCTTTATTTTCTTCAAGTATGATATGTGCTAGTGCAATTGGCTGTAGTGTAAATTTTGTAATGAAATTCCAGCTGCAGATTTCTTGTTTTATTTTGTAATTTAATCAATTGAATGAGATGAAATCCAATGTGTATTTTTGACTATATAAACAGTACAATATAGCTTCCAAAGTTCCAATTAATGACACAATATTGTTCAATATAATGTACGATTTGTCTTTATAAATACTTGTATTAAATGATTGAAGCTAGTGAAATATTGATGTGTAATTAGCATTATGACAATGAAATATTGATGAAATTTTAATGGTTTTTTCTAGAAGGTGAAAGGGAAGATTTCCTTAATCTTTCCAGTGCTGTCAACAGTTCAAACACTATTTTTGTATGATTTCTATAGAAGCTAGCCTTTCCATTGTTAAAAGTAAATTAGGTGATGAATTGCTAAGTCAGATCTCACGAAGCAATGTTTTTCCCAAAATGAACAATAAAAAGAGGGACACATGATTCAAAACTTGTCACATAAATTTGTATCTGTGATTATATGTTTGTAAACTTACTGACGCTATAATTAGGAAAAATCAACTTATACCATTACCTGTGCCACATAAAATGAGCTCTAACGGGTACATGAGCATTTGTCTACATCAATAGCCCACTTCTTGTAATGGCCAAAATTAAGCTGATTGAATCTTTGCGCAGCACAAAACGTACAGCCATTCGATAATTACAAGGGGTCTGAAAATCAGATTATTTGCTTAAAAGGATTGCAATCCGTAAAGTCGATTCGACAACTAATGGTCGTTATTTTCAAGCCCTTTCGTTTTGAGGGAAGTTCTAAATTAGTATTATCTTTCAAGTGCCAGTGGAATTTAACCTTTCTATTTTTGGCTTGCAAATGGGACATTTAAGGGGGTGTGAAGGATGTAAAACTTCCCCCTTTTTTCGTCATTAAGAAAAACACAATTATAATTTTTTTTGTTAGACCCTTGTCCAAATGTTTGGAAATAACAGTTGATGACTCCATTTGCTTGCTAGTTCCATTTTTTTCTTTTTTATCTGGAGACAAATTTTTAAAATTTGACAACCAGTTTTCACCCTTTATTGGCAAGGACGAAAAATGTGGGAATCCTTTATCTTGTTTGCTTCATGTTAATTGTCGGATTAAAAAAAAAAAACTTTTTTTGGCCAACTTTCCAGAAAATTGTAGGCCCCCCCCCCCCCCCCCGCTGCCCTCCTTAGAAAATGATCTCGTGACACCCCTGCAGGTATATGTTCTACGATGTTTGTTGGTGACAGAAACACAGTGGTGGATTGCCACATTCTCTGTGAATGTTTAACAGTGGGAGAGCAAGCGAGAGAGATGGCGAGAGAGTAAGAATTTAAACCTTTGTTGAGAGATGTGTAGCTATAGATATGTCATATAATTTCACGCAGACTTGACATGATCATGAGATCAATTATGATTGTGCCATGTGGCGCGCTGAACTTAGCAGGGGTATCGACACAAGGTGATTGCTGTCAAACAAGAGTAGTTATGTGAACCTGGTGAAAGGAATAAAGGAATATAGTGAAGGATTCCAGGAAGATAAAAAACTTAGAAGTAACAACTTAGAAAAGGGAAAGGGAGAAGTAAGATGGAAGATGAAATTAACAAGTGAAGTGAAAGAGAAAGGAAATGTAGAATAGAATGAATTTAGAGAGAAAAAGGAGAATGAGGAGGATGACGGAATGCACTCTAATGGAATGAATTTATCGTCGGAGCCAAAAGGGCATTTACTCTGTGTATTATGAGTTAACGCCCTTTTAGCTCCAAACAGATAAGTATGCCCTTCTTCCTCTCACCAGACGATGCTACTGCTGTCCATGAAGAAAAATAGCCTGATAATAGTGCGGTAAGGTAAAAAATAACCTACCTTTCTGGCTAATATACACTGATCATTTTCAGCGTGGCAGAACATTTGGCAGGAGTAGCCGTAAGTAATGTCTTTGCCTGAGAAAATGTCATCAATCAACTCGATGCTATTATACGTGCTGTAAGGCATGGAAATTGAATTAACCTCTTCACTCTTTGGCATTTTGGTTTTGACTTTCTTCATGGAAAACCTCTACTTGTGGTTGCTGGTTGATCCCCGCGGAACGAAGCTGCCCCCACCATAGGCGCCGGAAGTGGGGGGGCAGGGGGGCAGTTGCCCCCCCAGTCAAAAAAGTGGGGGGGGCAAAACGCATTTTTGCCCCCCTAAACGCCCCCCCCCCCTTAAAAAAAAAAAAAAAACAGTAAAGGAGTAAACATGGTTTGTATTTTTAATCAAAAAGAACGTAACAATAATAAAAACCTGAATTAAATCACATATACAATTCCATTCAAAGAAAAAGGAAAGTTAACAGGAATTAAATTTCATAAACATTGCGCATGCCACCTATACGGGATTTATCAATGGAGGTCTCCATATAATAGCGATACGCGCATATCGTGGACATATTGTGCGAGAATGGGAAAGCGTGTCCGTTTTTTTGTTATAAAAGATGAGAAGACATGAGCCCCTGAACGCTGGCGTACTGATGGGGGGGGGGGGGGGTGATGTATTTTTTATTCGAAACAAGTGATTTGCAAATGTTGATGTTGTGACATGATTTTCCGGGAATTTTTCTCCATTTTTTTTGTAATTCATACCTTTTTATGCGTTTGTTGGAAAAAAGAAATTCCCAAATTACAGTCAGGCGAAATACGCTTATTTAGAAGCCTTTAGGTCTTGGTCTGCAAAGTGGCTGGGCTCGAGCCCCCCTCCCCCCCCCCCCCCCCTCCTTTTTGAAAAAGTATGTTAAAGAGAAAAAGAAAGAAAGACGAAGAAAAAATAAGTGACCTGCCAATGTCACAAATAAGGTATAAAATATGCTCATCTGACCGTAATTAAATGCTTAAAACCCCAGAGCTTACAGGGGCTCCGCCCCCGAACCCCACCAAGGGCCCTAAGGCGGGCCCCTGGATGCTCAACTGACCGTAATTAAATACCTAAAACCACTGCGCTCCCGGGGGCTCTGCCCCCAGGACCCCACCAAGGGCCCTAAGGCGGGCCCCTGGATGCTCATCTGACCGTAAATAAATACCTAAAACCCCCAAGATTCCAGGGGCTCTGCCCCCTGGACCCCAAC